AGTACAACCCAGGGGAGGCTCCTGTGCTGGCTCCCCAAAACGCCGGTCTCAGGATCGCGGCCTTCGGAACAACCATTCATGGCACTTGACAATAAAATAAAATCCAACTGTGACGTGACAAAGCCAGAGATCTCGGATTTCACCAGGGGGAAAAAAACCTTTGAAAGCTAGGCAGGCCAAGGCAGACTTTAATTTTTATTTTAAGACGAAATATGCTTAGCACCCTCATTTAATAGACAGGTGTTATCCATTCACTTCAGTGGGTTTATCCATTCACTTCAATAGATCAGTCCTGATCTATTTCAATGGTTTGTGTTTCGTTTCCATTCCCAGATGAGTTTCAGGTCCCCGGCTCCGGAGCGGGCCTAGACAAGGCCGCAATTCAGAAGCCCCCTCTGGGAATCGGCATATTGTATCATTCCAGTCCATAAAGCACTAAATTCCGAATCCCACCGGCATTGCTCGGAAACAAACCCCACGGGACCTTCTCCTGCCGGAAGCGTTTAGGATCAGCTACAAGGCTTGAATCTAAGCCGATCCCGGTCGCGTTTCACTTCAAAGGAACTCACCGCTGTTGGCTTAAATAAATCTGAGCATGTGGAGGGATCTCCTCTGCCAGGCCGAAACCTTAAACCTCCCGGGGGAAGTCCGAACGGAAGGTGCAGGATACAAGGAGAAAGGAAGCAAGCGAGCCACGCGTCTTGTCCTCCGACTCCGACAGGGATTGACGCGGAGGAAGGGCCCATTGATTTCCTATCACTCTTCTTCTGAGTGCAGCGGCGACGGATCGCCTTTTGCCCGAGGAGAGCTCTGCTTTGCAAGACTTGCGCGCGGAGGCGACTCTGGCGTCTATTCATTTCATTCATCCCCCACTTTTCTCCCCAGTGTGGAAACAAAGGGTGGGCTCGCCACAGGCTCCCTTTCTCCGGTCTCCCCTCACAACAAGCCGGTGAAACAGGCGAGGGCGAGAGAAGGCGAGGAGGGCCGGGTCACCCCCAGGCCACTGCCAGGGCACAGCAGAGAGAGACCCAGCCTGGCTCTCCCAGCCGGTGATCGTCGTATCCGAGTCCAATGCTCTGACCGCTGCATCAAGCGAAAGCAGCCGAGGACGGGGCTGGGATCCAGCCGGGTTTCTCTCCGGAGGCCGCAGGTGGTCCTAGGCTGCAGCAGTTCCCAGGCCAGCCCCCCCAACACAAGCCGCGACTCCTGGTCTCTCCAAAGGAAACGGGGCGTCCCTTGGACACTCACGCTTGACGACGACGCCTCTCGGAGCCTCCCTCCCCCCCCCCTTCAAGTCTGTCAAGGAGACACGGCTGCTGTCAGGGCCTTCCTTGGCGGCGGGGTTTGAGCCTCGGCCTCGGAAAGGTTTCCTGCCAGCAGCTCGACCCGTTCCCGTCGACGGCCCTTTGCTCCTTCGCGCCCGGGCCGGGACTGTGTGTGCTCCCCCGGCGCCGAGTCTTCAGTCTCCAGCGGGGCCACCACCATCCCGCGCGGGATTTCAGAGCGCTCTCTGTGACTCGGCCCTGACCAGAAAAAAAATCGGTCGGACTCTCTCCCTAGACCGTTTGGGATTTGGAGACCCCCCCGGTTGCTTGCCTTCTTAAACCCCACACCCACGCCGGCGATCAGGCGCGCACATCCTTCCCTGAGCAGGGACTTCTCTTTTCGGCCGGCCTCGGCATCCCCATTACTACCAGGAATGCAGGACACAGTCCTCGGGACTAGGAAAGCACCGCCAGGTTGGACGAGGAAGCCGAATCGGGACCCGGCGCTTAGTAAAGATCCCCGCCCTTCTCGCCCACCCGGGTCACCGAAAGACAAGCCCAGCGGGCCGGTCGCCGGCGCTTCGGGGCCCCTTTGGCCGGAGTTGGTCTGCGTCCCTTTGACCTCTGAAGGTCGAACCGCCACGAGAGGGCACCGCGACTGACAGCAGCAGCGACCCCTTCTCGGCTTCTGCTTTCACCCAGACACCCTGCCCCCCCCCCAGATCTCTCTTAATCCTGCCGGGGAATCGAAAGGTAGTTCTCCGAGGAGCTCTTGGGGCTCCTGGACTCTGGCCACAGGGAACTCGGGAGCCCCGGCCTGGCGTCCGATTCGTTTCCAAGCAAACTGGGAACCGAGCCCGGGCCAAAAAGGAAGGTAAGGCGGCGGCCTGAACTGAGCAAAAAGTTCTTGCCAGGTGGATTTTTTAAAAAAGTTAACAACAACCCGTTGAAGCGGGGATTGGCATCTCCCGGCGCAGTAGGCCCCGCACGACTAAGCGCTCCGGAAAGCCCCCTGGCGGGCCAGAGAAGCCGGCTCTCCCCGGTGTTGGTGGGGAGGACCGGAGAGGTAACCCGGCTCGGAGAGTCGCGGTCCAAGCGGGAGAGCTCGGCGTGGAAACACGTTTGCGCGCAGGCTGCGCTCAAGGTGCAGGTTTGTCTTACTACACTGCAGTGGTATTTCACCCCCCAGAGAAACGCCTTGCGGACGGAACCTCGCATAAATGGGGGGGAGGATTTAAACACACATTAACAGGCCCCACTGAAGTAGCTGGGCTTGTGTTTGAGAAGGTCTGGGTGGAATCGGGCTCCCTGGCGCTTTCCCCCTTCACCCTAACCTTTCACTGGCAGCAAACCGGTTTCACACGCTTTAGAGGAACCGATCCGCACGTTGAAGAGGCCGCTAAATCTACACTTTGCGGAACTTTAAGCCAACCGAGCAAAGGGGACGGCCGTTATGCGGCTCCGGCAGCTTCCAGACGCCGTGTGCTACAGGGGAAGCCGCCTTTCGCCGCCTCTCTCCAAGGACCGGGCTGGGCAGCCTTTACCTTCCAGAAGCCGAGCCCCGCTCCTCCCTCCGCCAGCACCTAACTCCAGAGACTTGAAGGGTCTCTTCAAGGGCTGCCAAGGCAAAACCACTAGCAAGAAATACGACCTCTGAGCTGGTGCAGAGTGACTCCCCCGCCTCCCCCCCCTCCAGCCCCGCCGTGCCTTACCGGGTCCCCCTGCCGAGGGCTTCCTCATCCACTCGCAGAGATTCCGCCGCTGGCCGCCAGGGGAGAGTTGCTCGGCGCCGGGCGGCGGGTTGAGGGGCTGCATCAGGCCCCCGGCAGGGGGGACCCCGCAGGGCGGCGCCGGCGGGCCCTGGGCCGGGTGGTGGTGGTGGGGGTGCGCGTGATACTCTGCGGCCGGGCTGTAGGCCAAGCCGGCCGCGCCAGGTCCGTGCACCGTGTTGGCCGCCCCTGCCGCCGCCCCGGGCGCCGCGCCCTGCCCGTAGCCGTTCCAGTCGTCGCGGAGGGGCGCGCCGTAGGCGGCGGGCCAGGGCGAGGCGGGCGACTGCGCGTTGTCCAGGCCCAGGCCGGCGGGCACATGGTAGGTGCCGTAGTCCGGGTACTGCGGGCCGCCCATGAAGTTCTGCGCGGCGGCGGCTAGGTTGAGTCCCCCGGCGTGGCGCACCGAGCCCGGGTACATGGAGGGCCCCTCTTTGTCCAGCAGGTAGCTCACGTACATGGTGGCCGGAGGCGAGCGGCGCTGCTCCGCATGCTGCTGGGGGCGCCGGCGGTGGGCTCCCCTCTCGGGCTGCGCCTGCCGGGGATCGGCCCCCGGCCCCGGCCCGGTTGGCCGCCTCGGAGCGCCGGACAGCTGCTGAGCCCCGGCTCCCGGCTCCTTTCAGGAGTGGCGCTCCATCGGCCGGGCGGCGCTCGCAGGATGAGCCAGCGGGTGACAAGGCGCTGCTAGGCACGGCTGGGCCGGGCCCACCACTAAAGGCAGGTGACGTGGAGGGAGGGAGGGAGGG